GAAGTACACATGCGCAACTTTATAAAAATATTGATGAGCGCACATAACAAACGAGTTAGTTGGAGATTGGAAGGGAAAAAGGTCATGGCCATAAAGCTTCAGCATTATTCCGTATATAGTCATTCAAAATAATTGTCCGATTGGAGTCTAGTTTGGTATTTCTTAAGAACCACCCTGAGAAGTAGACACAAGTCACAATGACCCATAAGAACTCTGCTCAGATTTACTTCCGAATCAGAGGACTTGCAAATTTCTGAGCAATCCCATCAAGAAAAACTAACAGAGCCTATTATTCATAAGATGGCTAAAAGCAAGAAACCAACAGTAATGGAGATGGCAACACTACAAAAAACAGCCTCTAAGAATGACCTCTAAACAACAGAAAGAAAATCTGCTGAAAGAATTACTGCACTTTCAGCTAGTACTGTGGAGGTCGGCCAATTGTCCAAGAAAAGGTTAACCCAAATTGTCAGTCAACCAGTGAATACAAAAGCAGGAAAAATGGAGCCTCTACATATATACTGAATGCTGCTTTACAGTCCCTCACTGATCCTCGTTTCAAAAGAGCCAGTTTGCGTTAGTGCAGTATCAAAAAAACGAAAAAGAATCAAGTTTTGTAGGCAATAGGAAGAATTCATCCCCTGAAGCCTAAATTGAATTTATTGTCCTAGATTGAAAGGGCAGTGTTTTAATGCAAAATTCCACTTCCTCAGGGCAAGGCTTATAATAAAAATGATTGGGCGACACTAGATAATTATGTGACTTTGTACAGCCATTGGATGCTGTGACCCAAGCTTAATATAAAAGTAAAAATAGTGATAGCTTTGCATTAAGAATTTATGACAATATAATCCAGATGTTAAAAAGGAAAGCAGCTTCCACTCAGATAATCAATGTCTCAGATGTTACATTGAGATGTTGCTACAGTTGAATTATGTTGATGTGTAATTTACTTGAGTTTACTGCACTACAAATTATATAGTATTAATACTCTTGTTCTTGAAAATTATAAAATAAGTGAATTGATTTCTGCCCTGAACCAAAATCAAGTCCCATAAAAGAAGGAAAATGATCATTTCCATAAACCAAGGATAGGCAATTAGGATTAATCTAGATGTTTAATTTTTGGAAAAGTACAAAAATATAAATCCTTGCAGTTGAAGCATCTTTCATATGAGGGCAGTGTCTCAAAGATTTTCATAGAATTGAAAATTGTATTGAATGTATTTTCCAGGCAAAATTCCTCGATTTAGTGACAAATTTGGTGTATCAAACCCCAAAATGGACTTAAATAATGATCAAGGTATTATTATTATTATTAAGGTATCAAGCTCCCATTAAGCACTCAGAGACATTGCCTAATGTGAAAGGTGCTATGTGAATGCAAGTTGTGGTTATAATTCTAAGATTTCTCCAAAAGCCAATAACATTGCATGGCCCAGAAGCACTTACACCAAGGAAATAGGACAGAAAGGCTTAGGTTTGTGAAGCAGAAATTGAAGACATCATTTTTTTTACAGAAGGCTACACTGCTGGAACAGGTTACCAGGAAAGGTTGACATCATTAGTAAATAAACTTTTAATAGCTTGATGCTGCAATGGTAACATGGAGGAGTGTGTATTCTAAGAGGATTGAGTCACATTTGTGAATGTTTATGCGAGTCAAATGAAATAAAAACCTGGAATTGTATGTTTCTCAGATCTAGACAATGTAGAATTACCTTTATTCAGAAATTTCTTTGCCCAGGGTTGGTGAAAACCCTTAAATCTGAAGGTGGAAACTTATAAGGGATGTCACACTCATCTGAACAAATTTCTACTCAGAAGTTATGATCTACACTTGCAGTCTGACCAACAACAAGAACTTGCATTTATATAGCGCCATTCATGCGGGCTAGCAACCCGGAACACTCATGGCATTTGTATGTGCAGAGATGACTCTGAGCTGGAGGTGGGGGGGAAAAGAGAAACTACGGTGTACTAGAGATAGCAGCTGAATTCAACAAGATATGCACCTGGGAAAATTAAAGGCAATAATCACAAGCTAAATAATAATCCTTTCCTAGTGCCTTTCATGTCAGAACATCCCAAAGCATTTCACAGGATTTACTGCACAGTGACTATTTTGCAGGCAATCGTGGCAAACCAATTGCAATAGCAATGTCTCACAAACAGCATGGAATGAGTGACTAATTTTATTTGGGGCATTTTTAGCCACAAAACTCCCTACTATTTTCAAAAAGTGCCATGGGATCTTTAACATCCACCTGAACAACCAGACAGGACCTTGGTTCAATGTCTCATCCGAAGTACAGCATCTCTGACAATGCAACACAACCCCAGGACTGAATTGCAGGGTCAGTTTAGACTATGAACTATTGCCTACTGAAAGTAAAAATAGAAGGCATCTATACTACATGGAAGCAAGAAACATTGCCATGGGGAGGAGGAGGAGTGAGAAAACAAGCAGCAATAAAAGTTAAACAGATGCTGCCTACGTTGCCAAATCAGTTAAGTTATCTCCAAATGTCACACTGAAACTACAAAGTGCTCTGGTCAGACTGCACATTAAAAACAAAGCATACAGTTCCGGTCAACTTGACATAAGAGGGCTATCCAACCCCTAGAAGATGCAGTGAAAAGAGCACGAAGTCCAGTGCTCTGGACTGGATGAACCGGGGTAAGGTTCATCATCAAACAACAAAACTTCTCAAAAAGGACTGTAATAATAATCCTTGCATTTGATACAGCGCCATATCACGTCTTCAAGACGTTTGAAAGCGCTTCGCAGAATATACTGTAAATTGAATTGACAGTATATTTTGTGGGCGAAACACGGCAGCCAATTACACACAGTAGTGTCCCACAAGCAGTCGTGGATTATCCCCAGAAAAGCAACCCGCCAATCAACTAACAACCAGATTCCTATTAATGCTAGGCAAACAGAGGCGTGTGGAGTAAGGAAACTTGCCCAACATTTTGCCCTGCCGGGAATCAAACCCAGGTCTCTCACGAGGCGAGTGCTCTAACCACTAAGCTACAGGACTCCACAAATGTTCTAAGACTATTGCAGTTTATGTAATACAAATGAGATTGAAAAACTAAAAACACTATGCAGCATGAATTTAAAAATAATCGAAATCCAGGACAGAATTCATTCAGAACAATGATTTGAATTGACAAGTTGGGAGGCAATTTCGTGCAGAAGGGTGCTATACACTCTTGCTTAAGGATGCACAATTCCTTGTCTTCAGGAAATAAGGAGATCCCACTACCGCCTGCCGATTTGCTGGGCTGTGCAGAGTCCAGTAATATTAACTAGTATAACTAGTATAGTATAGCAGTGGGCAGTCCAGCAGCATCCACTGGTAAACAAGGAAATAAGCAGGTCATCAGTGGCATTTTTTAGGTGAATTTGGATAAGGGGGAATAAAAATCAGGTCGACCAGAATAAACTCCCCACTTTTCTTTAAAAAGCAGCAGGGGGAAACGGGAGAGAGGATGGACGTGCCTATTAATAGCCACCACGGTTTATGCTTAATTATTGATGGTTATGTCGGGAATTTGTAGCTGATTTCAAAATTGGTGGGGTGAGTAAAATCAGGTGATTAGTCCAAAAAGCAGGGGCTGCCTGAAATAAACACTGTTTAAGGAATGGAAATATTGAAAGATGAGAACTAATCAATTCGTGTAAATCAATTCCTGTAGGGAGCTCAAGACTTCCTAAAAAACCTTTTAAGTGTTAAAAACTATTAAGGCTATCTTAAAATCACGAAAACACTGATTAAAAGGACTACAGGGACTTTTCCCAAGTGTCAGATACAATAACAACAACTTGGATTTATATAGCGCCCTCCACGCCGGACGGGGTCTCAATGAATGGCCAGGGCTATTGCCAATTTGGAGTTGTGTACCGCATTGATTAGAGCACTCGCCTTGCAAGTGAGAGGGCCCGGGTTTGATTCCCGGGCAGGGGGAATGTTGGGCAAGTTTCCTCACTTCACACACCTGTTTACCTAGCAGTAAGTAGGAACCCAATTGTTAATCGATTAGCAGATCACTTCCCAGAGGTAATAAACCCTTTAAAAGATGTGGTCACTCAATCCACCATTGTTAGTGAGCCACTACTGTACACCATTGGCTGCCGTATATCACCCTACAAAACATAGTCATTTCACTTTGTAGCATATTCTGTGAAGCGCTTTGAGACTTCTCGAAGATATAAGGTGCTATATCAATGCAAGGATTATTATTATTATAATAATATGATGACAAAGTTGTGGCATCAGTACACTAGGGTGAGGACAGGCTAATGAAAATGGACCTGAAGCTCAAAGCTGTTAACAATGTGCCTATCATTCACATCAGATGTGAATCACTCATACATGAACAGATGATGTAAATACTGTACATTTAGACACCATAAAGGCAACGCCTTACATTATTCCATTCCTGAACTAAGCACTTCAACTGATATCATTACTATATTTATTCAAGTCTAATCCACCTCCAAAACTAAAATTCAGGCAGATTTTAGGGATTTTTGGAGAAGAAAAACAAAACAGCTTTACTGCAATTCTAAGGCACACCCTGATTTTGGAGGCATTTTCTGGGGGAGAAAAAATGTTTTATCTTAGAATTAAAGTAAAATAGTATATAATTTGCAGACATTCTTTTGAAAACAATTACCAATTGATTGCCACATTAAGGCAATCTAAAAATCATGAAAAGCACTTTAGGTTAAAAAATAAATTCGCCAGAATAAACGATAAATGCCCATTTCCCAATCCCTCCCCTCTTTCAAGGCAGTTCTCAAAACGTACCTCTTTGACCGCACTTTCAGTCATCATGAAAATCACGCTGATTAACAAATCTGTTTTCAGGTTTTTTTAAAAAAAACATCAGGGACAAGTTCCAAGATTGTCGCAAAAACTGAAAACGCAGAAACGTTGATAGGTTCATTGTACACATAGAGTACATTTATATAAAAACATATCAAATACAATTGTTTCATTAAGTTTATTAAAAATAATCAAATAGAAAACTATACATAAAAAATATGTCAAATTTTACTTGCCGTAACAAGTTGTCCCAGCAGAGTCCTAAACACGATTCATTTTGTACGCATGAACGCACAACCCCACAGTGGTAGTCAGGCCAAATAATTGTTCACCATGACAGAACTTGAACATGATACAGATGGTTATCCAGCACCACAAAATACATAGCACATTTCAGATATTAACTGCATAAACCAAACCTTTGCAATGTAATGTTTTTCTGCTGTTGCCAAAGCTTATACAGCTAGATGTTATGCATCACTTAAATTAATTGAAGCAACTCACCTTTATCTTTCAGGTTTTGGTTGGTGTTGCAGTGTTTATAAGTGCCAATGGAACTTAACCATTACCTCCTATTGTAATTTCATGAAATTAACCTATCCACTCACTTCCATTTGGTAGTTTTATTTCATACAAGTACTCACCAGACACATCTACTTATAACTCAAGTCATCAACACAACTAGCAAACAAAAATCCTCCAGATTTTCAAATTATACTTCAGATTAAATATGCCTAGAAAAAATAAAAAAATTGCAACCTAAATAGTTATCTTCGATCTTAAACTTTGTGAATTCAGCATCTTCTGATGGTCATTTTAAAATTGAACAAATGTTTACTTGTTAAGATATCCATCAAAGACTTATGGGAATGAAAGGTGCAAACTTTTAAATAAGTGTCACTCATCAAGTGTACTTTTTTTTAAAAAGTGAATGATCTAAAAATGGATTGCGCATTACACAGAAGTGAGGTGCCCATCAGCTATGAAAGTGCAGAGAATTGCAAGCCATTAATATATTTATTATTCTATAAACACCTCTCTAGAACAGCAATGCCCAATATATGGCATGCATGGTTAATGTGTGCTGCTAAGATATTTGTGTTTCCACAAGGTGCAGCATTCTAGTTGCAGAGTCGTTTTCTCAGAATATAAAACATTTGTGACTGCAGTTATCCTTTATTAATCTTTCAAACTTAATTCACTTGCAAGTCATATTTATGCAGATTGCTTCTTTTTTGGGGTGAGGCAAATAGTGTTTGTTCATACTGAATACTGATCATAAGGATCCACCGAGCTGCTATATTCACACTACAATCAGTAACGAACTGAGCTGCTAACACATGGTCTCAAATTTGATGGGCACATATTCATCATTCAGCACTGGTATAGGGATATAGATTTCATTTGTATTCTGGTAAGGGGCAGATATCCAACAATGTGCCACATCATTTCTAAAATGTGCAGAATAAAATGATTGAAAGATTTAGGCACATAGCTTTTGTTGTAGATTTTGAATGCAAGCATGCAGAACTGGAATGAATGAAATTTCACTGTTTTGTGATTAAAACACTCAATGTATTTCTTGGTGTAGCTTAGATTTTTAATGCCAACACATTGGATGTATCCAATTCTGAACTCAGCTCATGGGGAATATTCTCTGCAAGTTATCATGGGTTAGAGTGGAGACTTAAACCTCATTAAAAAGTGTAGTCTCCAACCTTAATAGTAAAAGTATCTACAGACTACTTGTTTGTAAAAAAAAAGCAAACTGATAAACCTACAAAATTCAACCTTGTTGCACTTGGATTACATTTTCATATCCTTGTTATTTTCATGAAATTACAGTAGCTACATAGACAAAAGTATGGACTTTACTGGAATGTTCTGGGACAAGAGCACATAGACAGTAAACACGTTGATACAATGCAACATAAAATCATGGCAGTGAGCAATCAACACTACACTTGGCGTACAAATCATTGAGATGAAATACCCTTGTGTTGCTGAAAAGGTTGAAACTATTTAAAAAATGTCTAAATGCTTTCTCTACAAATCTCTTTATGTCATGGCAACATTATATCAAACATAACCACCACCAACAATGGACTTCTTCCTCCATCTATTTATGTTTAGAAGAGTCACAACCCTTTTGTGAGACAGTGTCATGTTTAATTTCAACCTAATTCAGGCAATATACAAGACAAATCCCTAGGACAACTGCGGTACATTCTTTAAAACATAGGGCTAGGCAGGCTGTAAATTTTCTCTCTTCCAAAAAGTAACAAAACAGTGGTTGTCGTGAAAAAAAATCTTGCATAGTCTAACTGTATGCATCAGTAATTTTCATTAAGTGCCAACAACACTGATGTGTTAGATCACTGCTGTCGTACACCACAATGCTGCACCAACCCACTTCTCACAAATGCACACAGCAGATGAAGTACTGTTTCTTTTTTGCTCCTAATAGAACGTATGCATATGAGTATACAGATTCCTTAATGGAATCAACATAATTCCTTCCACCACGTTCTGTTAGCTGGGAACATCATTCACAAATGCCATTTGGACCCCAACATTAACAGGTTACATTTCTACATCAAATGTGAACCAACACGAAACAAAGCTCTGCTAATTCACACGTTTGTTTTCTTTGAGTATGCCTCTCTAGCAAGGCTTGCGTTTCTGGCTCTTACTCAAATTGGAAGTTAGAGATTCAAGGTGACTATAACAGACCCTGAGAAAACGCAGCCCAAAACACAATTGAAGACCAAAGCAGAAGAAAGGTGGATTCAGTTATGCTAAACTCCTTTGAAAACTTCCTGTTAGTATGGAGCGTTACATTGTGTATCAAGGAGACTTAACTGCTCAACTAATTCCTTATGTTGTTAGGACACTCACCTTAAATATCAAACCTGCCAAAACTAAGAATCCTCTATAAAGTTAGATAATGCAACCCGGAAAAGGATTTGTAAACTTCAAAACATTTCCCTCCTCCACTTAAATATAACTTAAACATGTGATAATAACATCATATGAAAATTAAATAAAAACTTCTGAAAACAGTTATTGCACAAATGATACAATCTGTTCAATATGTACAGAGTAAAAAGTTCTGATATATGTATGAAACAATGACTAAGAAGTGGCAAAAAACTATTGCCATGAAAATGTCCATGTAGATCAGCCACGAAAATGACCCTTGGATTAAAGTATTCCTAAAGTTTCCTCTGCTTGTAAAGAGTTGCAGAAAGTGCCTTTCATCTGCAGTGTTGGTGGAGAAAGCTTAAAGCTCTTGCAGATCCATCACCAGAGCTGTTCCAGCAGTGAGTTGAGAACTATGGGAAGCAAAACCTCCAAATCCAATAAGGCTTCACAAATACTTAGCACAAGATGATGTTCTGTGGGATGGAGTCCAATCATCATATTGGACACATGCAAAGTCAGTTGGAGATATGAACCAATATCCACGAACTGCAGTTAAATGCTGGTCTTTATTTCCAGTCTAATGTCAAGATTATTTCCAGTCTGACGTCAAGATTATTCCACTTTAGTGTGAATACGGGATGATTTTCCAATGGAATCACACCCCCTATCTACTTAAACTAATTACAGTGTCCCGAGTGTGTTTTCTCCTTTTCGAAGTGCTGCGAGGATATTGGTTATGGCCTCTGTTCAAGACTGGTTGCTTCATGCCACCCACTGAATTGAGATTGGAGCCTTGGTTATGAAGTCCCTTCACAGAATATTTTGGACTATTGTGCTGCTGTTAAAATTAAAGGAAAAGTAAATCAGAATACTTCAAATGGCAAGAAATTTCAATCCATAAACACCCACCACCCAAGTCTTTTTTTTCATTACAAATGTAAAGCATCATGCACAATACAGAGATTTCACCATTTAAAGTACTGTACATCATTTAATAAATAACGGTTTTAAAAATTTAAATACATAACCATAAATACAGAATCAGAATTTTTGGAGAACAATTTCACAATAGAAACATTTGGTTTATTGACTTACATTTGGATTTACAGCATAGAAGATCATTTGGCTAATCATATCTGCAACAGCTACCTATTCAGTCTTACCTCTTTGCCCCATACACCTTAATATTGCTCATTAATCTGTCTAATTTATTTTGTAAACTATTATTGATTCTGCATGTGTTTTGGTAGAGGATTCTATCTCCTAACAACAACCCTCTGTAAATAAAAACAAATTGCTTACTTAGGTAGCTGGTAACTAAATTTACGTGCTCTAATTATCAACTGACTGGTGGAAATGTTATCCCCATTTACCAACCTATCAAATCATCTCAATTTTAACACCTTAGTCATGTCCATTTTCAAGCTCTTTGTTCCAGGGAACATAGGCTCAATTTATAATTCCATCACTAAAGCCTCTTAGCATCATAGAATCATACAACACCAAAGGAGGCCATTCGGCACATCGTGTCTGTGCCAGCTCTTTGAAAAGAGCTATCCAAATCAATCTGTCCCTGGTATGATCCCGGTGAATCTCTTCTACACTTTCTCCAATGTAGAGTGCCCATAATTGAACACAATACTCCACTGCAAATTAACTAATGGAATGTACTTTTGTACTCTTAAATCCATATTTATAAAACACAGAATTCTATTAGTTTAACAGCTTTGACAACTTGAACTCTTAAAGCTTTAACATTTAGTGCATAAAGTTCCACCCAAAATATTAACACCTCATACTTATCTGCATTACATTTTATCTGCCATCTATCTGTCCAATCACTAATCTTCCTATGTTCTGAAGTTTTGGTCCTCTTCGGCTAGCCATGCTCCCTATCTTTGTGTCTGCAAATTTTGATATTGTGTCCCCTATGCCAGAGTGCAGATTTATACAGATTGATTGCCAGAGGTTCTATGGAAAATGGAAGAGGGGCAGCTCATTCACAGTGATGGTGAACTTTCCCCCTACACACTATTGCAGCAGCAAAATAAATCAAACATCAACCTAGCAATTAATGAATTATGAATCTCAGATACTGAATGTTACCAATAATTTAATAAATGTATCTGTTTGCCTCGACAATCTTCCTCATCCTCTTGTCTTATTTTCCGCAACTTTTACTCTTTTCTACCTATTCTACTTCATAATGGTTTCTTCTGCTTAGCTATATTCTGTGCATCTATGCAAATCTTTTATTTTGGAGGCGAGAGCAAGTTAACAGCTCAAAATAGTTAGCCAATAAAAATCTCAAAAGTTGCAAGATCGACTTAGCTACATCCTACTCAATGTCAAAATTTGTTTCAAACCAGGAAACAAAGCTGACATATAAACATGGCTACTGAACTCAAGGGGTTAAAATACCGACAGCCTATAATCAATTTTTATGGTCCTGTTAGCATCTCAAATCATCCAAATGGAACAGACAATACTAAGTTTTCAGTTTGTAACGTGCATCTATGAAAATTGGGTCAGTCTACAGAAAGGGAGGGCTGTGCAGCAACATTTCTTTGTTGATAAAGTAGTAGGTTACTTCTCCAGATATTAGATTCCTCAGCATAGGTGGGTTGTTCATTATTCTTTGAAAGCTCAACCTTCACATAAAAAATATTAAGTTTGCTGCCATTCTCAAAGGAAAATCTAGCACTGTGCCTGTCTCGTTTTGATATAACAGCTTGTGAAAGGGCTGAGAAGGGTTAGGATGCCAGCAGTTAAGTTTCAACATCCTCCAAAAAAGAATCAACGAAAGTTCTAAAAATGCCAAATCGAAGTGCTGTATCCACTGATGTCAGCAATTGGCATGCAATATACAAGCAATTAAACTTTACATACACTACTAGGATGGAGGGGATCTCACTGAGAGCCCACATTACTATTACTGCATAATGAGGATAATCAGGGGAAAATACAATTCTTTGAAGAAAGTTATGCTTTTCACCCCAAGGTGTTATGAACCACTCCATGGTACAACTTCATTCTGAGGAAAATCTTCAGCTTTTTTTTCTTAGAGGAGCCTGTAGCAACACTGATAGAACTAGCAAGAGAAAATATCACAAAGAGTTAGCTGGCAACAAATGTTGAGTCTGACAACTCAAAACCACACCACTTCAGAAAAGGAAAGCTTTGCTAAATGCAAGATAAAGAATGAGGATAATGATACTAAATAAAGGTAGGCGATCCAGCTTCATTTATTTAATTTCCACATACAAGCAAGAAGTTGTGCAGAAACAAGGAATGGGGCTCTAAAGACTTACATTTTCAAGCCACCCTGAAAAACAGCATAAAAGTTATTGCCTTAAGATCTTAAGTCAACAGCGAAGGCATGCAAACAGCTTACTGGTCTGAGAAGTGGCAAGTATACAAGTAGAACGAGCTCCAATTTTCCCTGCCAAAAGTATACAAATCCATGTAGTGTGCAAACTGCAGCTTGGTGCTGCTTTCAACAGAAATGGTTTGCAAAATAACTAGTTTCTGTTGAATGCAGAACCTAATGCTACAAGTTAAGGCATCAAGTGCTTTATGAATTTAGGATAGTTGTTTCTTCAGTGTAAAGAGTTCAGTAGCAACAAAGAAAAGTTCATATGGTATCAATTATCTTTATGCCTTAAATGTCCCATTTTCACATATCCTAAATCAGAGCATTCCACTGGAAGAATCACAATCCGGAAAAACTTCCTTGAACATTACAAATTAATGTTTAAAATGTAAGCAGGACATTTTGGAGAAAAAAAAAGGAAGTACACCCTAAACAGCAGTTCAGGAACAAAAATCTAAACGTACAGAATAAGAATCGTTGCATTTGGTATAGTGCCTTTCACATCAGGAAGACATCTCAAAAGTGCTTCACAAGATGTACTGCAAAGTGGGCAAATGCAGCAGCCAACAGTCAGGAGGATAGGTTCACTAAATTGGAGTAGTTTTCACCGCAACAGAAGATTAAGAGATGAGTTAATCAAGGTCTCTAGAATTTTATAGATTTGAGGAAAACAAAAGTAAAACATTCCTGCTGCATAGTGAAGAAATCCAAGATAGCATAACATCAGCATCACTATTAGATTAGTGACAGAAGAGGAGGAAAATATTTCACACGAGGATCATACTATGAAATGCTTGGCAGTTGTGCCTATTAAGCAAAGCCATAACATTAAAGAGAACTGTATAATAATAATAATAATCCTTGCATTTTGATATGGCTCTTTTCACGTCTTCTAGACATCTCAAAACACTTCACAGAAATTCACTGTAAAGTGAATTGACTGTATATTTGTGGGTGAAACGCGGCAGCCAATTGCGCACAGCAGTGTCCCACAAACAGTCGTGGATTGAAAATGACCAATTTATTATTGTTTTGTTCTGGAGGGATTATTATTAGGTGTGTGGAGTAAGGAAACTTGCCCAAGGTTTCACCCTGCCTGGAATTGAACCCAGGTGTCTCCCTTGCAAGGAGAATGCTCTAACCACTGAACTACAGGACTCCGCTGATATAAGATATAAGAGGATATAAGAGAAACAAGATAAGGAGTACAAGGAAGAACATATTGGAAGTGTATAGCTCCGATGGAGAAGATGGCACCAAAATAAAGTCGATGGGACTAGTCACCTCCTACTAGGCTTTGATTACTACTACTGTATGATTCTTCCATTTGGAAAATGTCCATTACCAAAGACAAATCCTGTATCAGGCTCAGTGTGCAATTTCTTCAATCATCACAATTCACAGATGTTACATCAACAAACCATCATCTCCAATGATTGTTAAAAGGATGCTCTGACACATCTTGGTACACATAAATGTGCAGGTCTCCTGAACTACTCCATGGTACAATAATCGTGTTTCAAAACTCTGGAACTAAACACATCTGGGCTAATTGTTTTTTTTAAAACAGTTCTCTTTAATGTTATGTAACCAAAAGTTTTAACTTCTTCAGAGATTGATCCTTTCCCTGTATAGAGAAGTGCAAGGTACTACATTTAGGAACAATAGGAAACACACTCCATGGAGAGCGTAGAACTTGCTGGGGGCAGGGGAGGGGTGGGGGGCAAGAGTTAAAAGACATCTAGGGGTGCTGGCTCCTTGCTAACTATGTAAAAACAGTGTGAGGCAGCAATAAACAAGGCAAACCAGTTGCTGGTCACGCTGCAGCTGGAGACTGCATACAGTTCTGGTTGCTGCCACATTTGGGGCTGCTCATACCCAAGAGGCATGGCAGAGCAAATCAATGAAGATGATCCCCAGTGTTAAGAGGAATGAGCTACGAGCAACAATTAGACAAGCTAGGGCTCTTCAGGCCTGTGCGAAAACAACTCATAGAGGACCTTAGAGAGGTGCATAACATTTTAAACTGGAATGAAAAAGTAAACCCAGAACAAAACTTTAGGATGCACCAAGACAGCAGAACAGCAGGACATGCGTTTAGGGTTACAAAAGGCAATTTCAGGAGATACTAGGATGTTTCTCCTTATCCAGATGGTCATTAACAATGAACAGGATGCCAGGAAGGGTGGTTGAGACCAGGAAACTGGACTCATTTAAAAAGCAGCTCAATGCTGTGATGGGAGGACAGAAGAGTGGGTGACCTAAAATCAGATGGGCCAAAGGGCCTTCATCCCAAATCATATTGTGACTCGCCATGCTTTGTTTGTAAGGGGATATACCTTCTGGACACCAGAAGATCACCAACCATTCAGAACAAGCTACCCCAGAATATCTTTATTGTTTGCAATGGGTCTCATCAACAAAACTGCAAAGCAAATACATCCACCAGGACTAGAAAATATCCTTGCTTATCATTGAATAGTCAACCACCACTCTAAGGACGCTGCAGAGACAGTAGATTCAAAATCTAGGATTTTAAATGCAATTTGGAACTAGNAAAAACAATGTATTTTCCTCATTTTAGGTTTTCTATCTCATATTACATATTCTCATTGAAAGGCAAGATCAACTTCAAAGGAACTGCCCATTTCAGCTGGTAGAAAAGGAGTTTTTGCAAGAATGCCTGACAAGCTCCACTATCCCATTCTCTTTGAGAAACTGGGAACTACTCTTTGCCTCTGAACCCTGAAATAATTCTACCCACATATCATAGTTAAAAGTCTTAACAATTACAAATCATGCAATGCAAAACGCACAAGCCCTTGTTGGTTCTGAAATTTAATCTGGTCTTTGGTTCCATGGATTCCTACCTTGTGACATATATGGGGACTTGGCAGAGGGTTAGGATATGTAGAAAGGGGAACAGGATATGAACCTGTCACACGATTCAGTGTTGCTCCTTCTATACAAACCTGTCTGGAAGGAAGTGCAGGGTGCGTTGAAACACCAATGCTAGTAGGTGCGATACCAATCCTAGCCTGTTTGAGGATAGTAAAATAAATATTAATAATGTTCATCAATAACTTGGTTAAAGAAACTAATTTCCATCTATACAGATATATTAATTTAGCCACAAACATTAAATAATCCATTTAACTACATAATGATTCAAGAGCTCAATTTCTAAATGAAGGCAGAGGGATTCAATACTAAAGTAACATCCGAGGGATCGTTCTACCACAATTCACCTTCGTCCATCCTCACAAAAAGACAGCCATTAAATACATCCTCCCCACAGATGTATCTGCACAACTAATCAATTCCTGAAGAATATCTTAAAGGTGCTAAACACAATATTTTGATCAGTAATGGGATGATGCAAAACAATATAGTGGGGGAAAATCATTGGCAAATTCACTGCAGTTTTACAGTCAAAATAGTATTCATTTAAAAAATATTTGAGTGAAAAATACATTTTCAATATCTAAATTCCACTTTTAGTTTGGACCAAATGGCCTTTTAGTCCACATTACCTTATGTCTTTTGCATGGCTACACAAAGCTTTAAGTGTTACGATAATAAACACCATCTTGTGGTACCAAGTCTAGAAAGCCTTAAATGCCCTGTTAACTGATCTCAACTAAAGCAGCAATAGGGCCACTGCAGTTGGTCCCAGCATTTCTGATGTTCATTCAATTGCTTGCAGGGGGGGTTTGAGAGGAAAGAAATTGAGCCAAGGCTCCCAATTTTAATTACCATCCAAATAGCCCTATTAGAAAGCACACTACTGGATGTCAGGCAAGATCAAGTATGACTGGGATGCCTCTCACAATTCAATAGTGTGACCCTCACACATGAAGATACAATATTTGAAGTAATTAGTTACAGTGGAACCACTCCCCAGCAAATTACACGAAGAGAGAAAAATCAGGACGGCGGGGGAGGGAAGAGAGAAATAAAACGGATTCATCTTAAAGTGGTCAAACCGTCTTCAGAGGCTGGAGCAAACATAAATCAGTTACTAGACATATTTTGACTTTACAATTCCCAGCTAAAACATAGCAACTGGTATAAAACTGGACAGCTATCATCATTGGGGAGTTGTTTCCTTTAAGTATATAAGCAACTTATAACATTGGAAATTAGATCAAATGTTAATATTTTATGTTAAACATTTAAAATTTTGGTTAAACCACCATTTTGTAGTGTTTAGTTTATTCTTGATGTCCATGGTGTTATGCACTGCCTCTTTATAATAGCCAACATTAGAAAGTTTGTAAATGTGACAGTGAAATCTGCTTATTTTGAAAGCTGAAGAGGGAGATTTGAATACTCACTCAAATGACAACAGCTTTCTCACCTGAGTACTTGAAGTCACTATCAATGCACTCGTTATGTTTGGCTGTGGTTTCCCACTTGGGATGGGCAGTGTAGGTGCTAAAGTTGCCATCAAAGAAGCTAATGCTGGGATGCTAAGTTGGTGAACGTTTGGAGTTGTGCATGGTGTAGAATCAGAATCCTGTCAAAAGTACCATTAAAAACTCTTTCACAGTGCTATTAAACCACTTATTTCAAATACTAATAGTATACATGTTTGATCCAGCAAAATTCAATTTAAGTAAGTTTGAATGATAGATGTGCTATTGCTGTCCCGTATTTCAAACAGTTCAGACATTGGGTACACTAACTATACTTTAGCTGCAATTTTCAGCACAAAATTCAATACAGAAGAAAAGATAGCATTAACGAGTTTACTTTGGTTGAAGGATTACTTACAATATCACTTCCAGACAGGGAAGAAGCTGATGATGAGGCAGAGGAGAACTGCTGTGGACTGCACAGGGACATAGGCGATGCTTGGCTATAAGGAGATTCAGAATCTCTTTGTTGTTGTTCCCTATTAAGGTTACCAATCATCTGATCCAGTGGCTCAATTTTAACACCATTATCTGCTAATAAAAAAGTTGGCCACATGTAAATGTATAAACAGAACAAAATATTTTCTTTGAAAATTACTCCATGTACTTATTCAAATTAAATTCATAATAATGGGCCATAATCCAAAGCCATAAATGTTCATGAATTTTATAATCCCTCCATGACAAACAATTTCATCTGTAGCATCTACGCTATAGATCAGAGGCCCAAATGGAAATTCAAACATTGTATTGAATTATTTACTATAACTGCATTTTACAAAGCAACTTATCACATCAAGACATCGCCACAGAATATATTATAATTCGGTTTGACTATTTTGTGGGTGAAAACGGCAATCTCCCACAAGCAGTGACCAATTTCATTTTGGTGGATTGCTGTCCAGGATATAGGGAAACTGAATTTTAATGTCCTTCTGGACAGGGAGCCGTTTAACATCTCATTCAAAGGACAGTAATTCTGTTCAAATTCCACTTACAAACCTGAAAGCTGCAAAACACACTCTCCCTATAGAAATCACCCTTCAGTGACTACATGACTATGCTATGTTCCAACATCGAGCATTTTCAGGGTAAGGATAGCACAAGCAAATTATAGAATAAAACTTCACATTACTAGGTTTCCTATTGAACCAACCCCTCGTTTTTCTATTGTTTGGCTGGAAGGTAAGCATAACTGCTCAATGGGGAAGGCAAATGGTAGTTGGAAATTAATGCAATCCATGTCAGGATATGCTCTCTTTGTATCTGCTTCAAATACTTTTCAGTATTCACTGTTAACAGTGGGGGAACTGAATAAATGGTTTCATTTTGAGCCATTTCTGAGATGACAAGTGTTCCTCTGGCAACAATACAGTCCCCTGCATATTCTGGAATTCTGATCCTATAAAAATGGATACCCTGGGAGAAACATCTGTTTCGTTGGGCTGTACTTCAGGCAGCTTTCCTAGCCAGAACTTTTGTAAGAGTGCTAATATTAAGTGTTAGACCGTGTTTTAGAGAAGCCCAGAAAAGTTTAGCTACATTAAATCTCTGGGGGTTTTTAAAAATGAATATTGAATGGATGACAACTTTTTTTAAAAAAAAGTGGCGTGAACAAGAACATCTGAAGCGTAATGTAGGCTCCTAGACAAAGTAGAAATTGTCCCATAATAAAGCCATTCATGCTTTATTTTTGAAAATCCAATTTGCTGGCTTTAGATCACAAATGATTTGTGGAAAGTTACTTTAAAAACNTTTTTTCTGTCAAACATTTTCCACAACATTGTTCTCGTTCACACCTCGTAATTCTATCAATTCTGACACCACCCACCCAGATTATTTCCATTAAATTTGCAGAAAAACTCTGGATTGCAATTTGGATTTAAGCACTTAATTGCCATTAATTGGATAGATAATAATTATAATAATAGACCAACGTTCCAAAAAAATAGTACCAGAAACTATTATACTAGCAGAAAATTCAAATTCAAGAAATAATTTACAGTTGTTGAATTTGATAGTTAAACCACAATCTGCAATTATACAAGAGGGTTTAAACCATAACCAAGTCTGAGTGAAACGGGCAAAAGGAACAGAGAGTCAAATAAGAAAGAAATCCTCCAAAGTGGACAAATAGGATTTCAGGACAATTTGGGGCATGAATTGTCAAAGAACGAACTGTTGGTGGGATTGGCATGAGGATCAGTTCAGAGTGAACAAAGGAACAAATATGGATACATATCTCAAAATTATGGCTCGTCAAAAAACGTTGAAGGTAAATGATGGTCTGTGTCTTAAAATCTCAAAAAGGGAGCAGGAGAATCCAAAGTTTGTAAATAGCATTATGCTGAACATTTTACAATTTTGTCTGTTCAAAACAATGACATTTTCAGCACAACATTTTGTATTACTAACCAGAAGATCCGAGATTATTTCCGACTCCCCATTTCTTCCTGATCCATTCCCTGTAATCTATTACCTCTTGTGTTACTTTGATTATTCGTCCAAGAGTGCTGCAACAAAATAAATAACTTCCATCAACTGCAGAAACTCCCAAATCCTTACAAGCAACTCGAGCATTTGCAATATCCTACCTCTCAGATTCTCGGTTTGGATAAGATCTTGCTAATGGTGTCACAGCATGACTGAGGACAATGTACGCATAATCGAAGACCTGCTTGACTTGCATGGCTCCATAAGAACTCCTGCCCACATCATTTCCTAAAGAAACAAGACAATACAAATTAAACACATACTAGGGAAACCTTCAGTTCCCATCAGAAAATATGGAGCTTTGGAACAGTCAACTACAGTGCAAATAAAAATTAAACCAACATATACTTGGTGGGCAATTTCAACCATAATTACAAGTTCTTCATTACTGTAATCATTTGGATGCAACCATCAATAGTCTGTCAAACATTCATTTCAGATAGCATTCTGAATGTGAATTTTCTGATCATTCCACATCTGCCCAACACGTGTTAGAGTAACATTGAAAATGAAACTTGAGGGAATGAGTAAAGGAAATCTAGCATTTGAGAGGTCGGAAGAACAACTCCACCATTCTTAATATTCTACCAAAAATAGTTCTTGTGAAATTTTGGACATTTAATGAATAAAACCATAAACTTTTGTGGGTATTGTATTCCAAATCTTAGCCTCGTCCAGGTTTTGGTTCATAAAGTGAGGTAAATAAGTCATTCAACAAACAACAATTTGCATTTATATCTCATTATACATGATATTAAACATCTGTGAAGGACTTCGAAAAGTTTGATGTGATAGGCGCTATACAAATACCAATTCCTGCACCTGACAGCTCATATCGGCTTTACTCATGTCTTTTCAACTGCTACCTCCAAGGTTACTAGGATCAAGTCTGAGTTAGTCTTGTCTCAAACCAATGCTGTGATCACAATGGCAGAGAAAATTGAACATATTCCTCAACACCCTTTATGACGATCCTGCAAACTGATTGCTCTCATGTTTTTAACAAGGCTAGCGTCAGTGCCAAGAGCTACATTGGTAGAAATGACGCAATTGCTTCACTGCTAATTGTGACCACAACTTCATCGTACAGCAAGTACTGGCCGTAACCCAAATGACTGGGCTGATCGGTGATCGGCTGATTTACAAGCTGGCTGTATGGGGTTCAGACACATCAGATGCTTGCTCTCCAAACACTGGATCCAATTTGGAATATGGTTTGGCAAGAATTTCTTAAATATCAAGTTGGATGCTAGACAGTTCTGTCCAATTGAGTTGTTTATCAGATATGAGAAGGAATGAACCTCTACTGAGCTGTATGCCAAAGTACATCGGCAATGAGAAGATCGCTTCACCGTGATGGTTCAGGACCATGAATTAGGTTGTGTTAAACCTTATAAACGGTATGTGATAATTGAAGCCATCTCACGGATCAGGAGCTTGATATGGTAGGATCCAAGCACTTGACAATTTTTAAAAATATAAATTAGAAGCTGGAATCAAACGGTTCCAAAGGTTGAATGAAATCCTTCAGATGGAGACATTTCGCCCACAAAATATACAGTCAATTCACTTTACAGTATATTCTGTGAAGTGCATTGAGCTGCCTCGAAGGCGTAGTTTAAAAACTTGATTTCAATGCCTTAGTAATACTGCAATTACATTTGCTGTCTCTGCCACACTGCTACAGTAATGTTGCCTTCATTACTACGACAACAACTTGCATTTATACGCCTCCCTTCACACAAGTAGACTGTGAGTGCTTAACAGCGGTGTGATTTAACTCCAAACTGGAAAGGGAGGGTAAGTAACCAAAAGCACAGTTGAAGAGGAAATTCTTCAGGTGTGATTTGAAGAGGCAAGAAATTCCAGAGATTCAGAGGATGGTGGCTGAAAGCATGGCTGCTAATTGTGGAGTGGGGGTAACAAGGGATTTCAGCAGATCTTTATCAACAAAGTGAAGGTGGAAAATAGTGGGGTGTGTGCAGATTGGGGAGGTAGGGACATGACAGATCTTGAAAAGATTTTAGTGAGTATCTTAAAATCAATCTTTCTTAACAGGGAACCAGTGGAGCCTGGCAAGAACTGGGTGATAGGGGTTCAGAGACTGTTACGGGCAAGTGCAGTAGATCATTTGAACCTTGTTAAGAGTGGAGCTGTGGAGACTGGCAAGTGCATTGGAAAAAAATGTAAATGGGTTTACGTGATTTTAATGATTTTAATGCCCTGCTGACCAGACTCCCCAGATTCTTCCTATGCAAGCTCAAGACTATCCAGAACACTGCATAGTGTCCTTTCCGGCATCAGGCTCCATGAGCATTCTCATTCAGCTCAGTGGCTCTTCATTCTCCAACAGATCAACACCAACAACATTACATTTATATAGCGCCTTTCACGTCGGGAGGACATCCCAAGGTGCTGGACAGACTGAGTTTCGGACCCGAGCTGAAGGTAGGGGTGGGGGAGGGGGAAGCATTGAGATCGAAAGCACGATCGAAGAGGAGAGTCTTGAAGGTGGCGGGAGGGGGCGAGATGGAGGGACTGCGGGATGGAAATCCAGAGGGTGGCTGCAGAGCAAGGTGATAGTGGGGCGAGCAAGGCGGGGGACGTGAAGCAGGCCAGAGCCCGCTGAGCGGAGAGAGCGAACAGGATGGTAGGGGGTTAGGAGGTCAGAGAGGTAATGGGGAGCAGGACCATGGAGGGCTTTGAAGGTGAGGTCCAGGATCTTGAACTGTATCCTCTGTGTGAAGGGAAGCCAGTGGAGTTGGGCAAGATGGGGGTGATAGGGTCATGAGAGCACAGTGCGGGAGAGGACACAGGCTGCAGAGTTCTGGATGATCTGCAGCCTGTGGAGGGAGGAGTTGGGGAGGCGAAAGCAGTGAATTTGCATAGTCGAGCCTGCGGTGTCAGACAGTGTCGGAGCCAGGCGACAAATTCAAAATATTAAATCGTTCTATGGACTCAAGCCTACTCTACCTCTGCAACCCTACCACCCCCTCCACTAAGTGAACACCAGCCTGCTTTATGCTCTTAACGCAAACAACCATCGATGTGCAGGCTTCCAGACAATCTGCCCCCTCTTTCAAGAACTCAGTCTTCTCGTTCTCGTCCCCAACCCCCCACCCACCCAACTCAGGTGCCCAGTCAGCTGAGTAAAGAGCTTTCAGAGATTCTTTCATGTGAAAGGTATTATATGAATTTTAAATTTTTGTTCTTGTTGTAGCAATTAGAAATCTGACACCAGAACTGTATGAACTGGCAGCAGTCATAATTGATCAGCATTCTGGCAAAGCCCACAATGCTCCACTACTTCCAAATGCTACGAACATTTTCATATTCAAGAGAATTTATCAACTATCACGACAGAGAAATATTTGAACTTCAAATCAACAGCGCAAATTTATCTCCTACCTTCAGTAAATTAGATAAGCCTCAGAAATACTTTGTTCCGTAAAATTCTATGATTCCGTGAGCACATTTGTGACAAGTGACATCTAGATTTATATCAACTCAATGCAGAGTTCTATATAACTGCCATAAATATTGACATTAACAAGCACGGAGATAACCAAACATTGAAAGACTGAGATTTTCTATAAAGTAATAATCAATATAAAATATACTGTAATTATCTCAAACAGCTATACTTTGAATGTATAGCAACATATTCACTGCTAAGTTAAAACCATCTAAATTGTATACATAATTAACTATTGTGACAGAGAAATGTTATGCATTTTCACAAATAACTGTAAAAGATACCAAACAACAAAAGTATTGAATCACCTTCTTAATACCACACGTTTATCACTTATATCACTGAGTCATCCATTGGATGAATTAATACAAAGAAAGGTAGGAACCACTGAGAATACCTTTTCAATAGGATTTGTGCAGTCTCAATTCATCTTGAAGTTTTAATTAAATTTATTATACAGCATTAAGTTGAAATAAAACTGGTGTAAATTGAAATGCAATTATGAAGATTCTGGATTTTGAAGTGACATTGGGTTTGAGCAATAAAACTTTTTTTTTTAAAAAATCCACTAATTATAAACTAGATTGGGAAATTAAAAAACAAGTCACACATTACAACATTAAGTTATTTTTTGGTCACATTTGTTTTTAAAGATTCATTAATATAGAATCCTGCTAGAATTCTCATCAACTTACAGGAATTCTGTTCCAGAAGTTGACTGCACTGGAGCAGAGTTCCATCAGGTCAGCGTGACATACCTCTGATTACCAGAAGGAGTCCCTATTTGTGCAATTCTGATTCCTCAGCGAATTGAACCGCATTGCTTCACTAAGCATTTTTTTTGGGAACAAGAGAATCCAAGACAATTTTGTTTAAAAAAACCTCACAATTATTTTATCCATAGCTTCAAAAAATTACCTGGGACCAGAGGATCTTCAATGCACAACATGGAAGGTCTATATCCATTGGTCATGTTCTTCATGATTTCATCTTTGGCAACATAAGCACCTCCGCTTCTTATTCGGATACCAGTTTTCAAATAATTAAAATGTCTACCATACAGTTCAAAGAATTCTATCAGAAGAACGCCAAGATCTACGCTGGACGCTCTGGCATCAATCCTTGGATGTAACTGCAGAATTCAAAATATTTACATTTTTAACACCAACACAAAAACCTTTTATTCAAAATTAACATGCTCACCACTTGGGTATTACATCACAAGCAAGAAAAAAAAGCAAACTAATATGTTGACTGAAATGCTCTTAAGGTTTTACCTGCAGGAAGCTAATAGCCATCAAAATAAGGCTGTAAGAACTAATTCCTCCAGTAAAGACTTCATTTAAATCCCTCTGAAGGAGAAACTGTTTTAATACCAGTATTAAGTAAGGCAGCACTGGGTAACCCTGTAACGAGAAAAATCCATACATCATCACTATAAGCCACAATTTGAAACAACTGCAAAGATAAAGTTATCCTGTACAAGAATGTTAAATAGATTTCAACAGCCATGGCAGCATCTACAGATTGCTGACATTTGGCCATTGGAAGAGAAACAAGTGAGAAACAACACTGTAAACATATTGCAATTAACATTCAGTTCCTGACACTGTCCATTGTTGAGTTACTGTTTTTGGTACTACTGACTAGTAACAGTGTTTCGTCCACAAAATATAATCATTTCACTTTACAGTATATTCTATTAAAATCTTTTGAGAAGTTTCAATAACATTATGAGGCACTATATCAAATGCAAGGATTATTATATATTATTGTTACATCAATTTTTTTTAGAAGAAGCTTTAGCTTCATACAGTAGTTAATTGCCTTAGGATGAAAGCACCACCTTATTTCTTTACTATAGGACATGAAGTTTGAAAAACGTGACAAGACCAACTTAGAACCTCTGCCCTCAGCAATACTGCAACAATTCATACATGTCATAAACACTTGAAACTAATTTTGATTGGGTTCCAGTTCACAGGAATATTGCAACAGTTCAGAAGCCATAAACTCTCAACATGGATACAAAACACTTATATAACAACGACCTTTCAATCAGTTTTTCAGGCTTAATAAAATTTGCTTTATTCAATACGACTATTGGTATGTGCATTACATAGGATTTGGATAATTAAACACAAGATACAAAAATAACCATGTATGATTGAATCCCTTGTGGTTAAGATGGATTCTTCCAAGCAAACCAGAAATTGAAACTGAGCTGATTTTGAGTATCCAAACAGTCAGATTATTTTGAGGAAGCAATTACTGGCACGATTGAAGATCGGTTAAGAACTTGACGAATTATAAAAGGTTGAAGAAAGGGACAGATTTTTTTTAAAAAAAACGACTTGTTTTGGGGAATAGAGAAATTATTTTAACTTAATTTAGAATCAGACCAACATATTGTAGCAGATTTATTCTGGGGGAAATCAAGAGTGGAGCAGCCAATCTTCGGACAGGGAGTGAAAGGACTGTGCTCTTGCTGCTAAACAGCAGAGGACAGCACACTGTAGCTGAGGTGCCCCAGGAAGCAAGTGCATGAGATTCCCATCCACACACAGTGCATGAGATTCTGGCCTCCCTCTGGATTGTTGAGGTGCACAATTCCCAGAATGATGCAGTTCTGGACTAGTTAGAACAAGTTGGGAGAAGAGGCAAAAGAGGTTTAAAAGGCAATCTGTACTCAGGAATTGGAAGTGCAAGTAGCAAAGTTGGTTGGAGTGTATGGATGTTTGAATGACCTCTCCAACATGTGGTGTTCCAAAATTTCTATATTAAAGTTTTTTTTAATCTTAACAAGGTCTGGTCAGCAGCTTTTGTTCCCTTGAACCCCTAAAACTGCTACAGCATGAACATTTTGTTTTGATTGTGTACTATTTTGCTGCAGAATGATTAACATATGTACAAAATACTCCAGGGAAATCTATTCACTGGAATCTTTTTCTACTTTAATGGTCACTTTCTCTGAATTGATCAAATCTATGAAATTGCATGGCAAGAGTGTACAACTAAGAACAAAATTAGGGCTATACACATCACAAAGTGAACGGTGATTAATTTATTTTGACGTTCACTACCCTCAATTTACTTCAGATCTTAAAATTTAAAAATCATTATTAATGCACTTTTACAGTCTTAAGCCAAGGAACACAGCCAATAGTAAATCCCAGATTCTTCAAGGTGCATAAGCCAGCACTTATTTTGATGTATACACTGTGGTTAACAGAAGTAAGACAGGTTTCTCATCTTTTTCTACTCCTTTCCTCTGCTTCTCCCTTCACTCAGTGGGTTTAGCTTCAGCCACTCTGCCTTAGTTTTCTGGAATTCCATCCCAGAGTCCCTCCGCTTTGCCTCTCTCAAAACCCACCTTAAGACTTATCTCCTTGACAATGCTTTTGGACATTCCCACCTCCCCTACTCGGCTCTACCTCCTCCCACCCCACCTGAGTTTCCCAGTCAGTTTTGTGAAGCGATTCCCAAGAGGATAAAAAGAGGAGAGATAATGGTGATAGACCAATATGTGATGGTCTTCATCTAAATAGGGAAAACCTTTAAAAAAAAAACACTCCTTTTCCCATTCAGCAAGCAAACTAGAACAATATTCCAACCAAGAAGTATTCAAAATGAGAAGCTTGCCATTTTGGTCTGAAATAAGACGTAGACCGACCGAGCAGACCAAATTCCTTGGGATGGAATTAATACAGGACAACGGTGTTATAAGACAGCAATTGGGGTTCATAAAGTGTCAGTATAATATGATAAGCTTAAGAGTGCTGCTGGTCAGTACTCAACAATCACACCTCGTGAAATCACTGAATATAATAATAATCCTTGCATTTGATAAGGCGCCTCAGAGACATCTCAAAGCACTTCACAGGATATACTGTAGAGTGTAGTGACTATGTGTTGTGTGGGCGAAACACAGCAGCCAACTGCACACAGCGACGTCCCACAAACAGTTGTGGATTGATATAATAATAAATAATCCTTGCATTTGATATAGCGCCTTATCACGCCTTCAAGACGTTTCAAAAGGCTTCACAGAATATACTGTAAAGTGAACCAACTGCATATTTTGTGGGCAAAAATATATTTTAATGCACAAAGAAAGCAAGCCAACTGCTCCCATTGTACCGCTTCATTGGGATTTGAAGTGTGATGACTCAATTTAGATTTTCAGGTAAACTGTTTGCAACCACAGTCCTATCGCATTATAAGCAAACCCGTGTTTTGAGGTTTACCCTGGATAATTATCAGGTGTGCAGACACTGCAGTGACATGAAGATTAATCCTCAGATGTATTTAGTTGAGCAACTTACAAAACTCAATATAGATAACTTCCGAGGACAAGAAAGAAATTACATTTTACATCACTGTATGTCAACTGCAGTATGTCACTCAATGGAGTTTTTGTAGGAAACATGACAGCTATTTGCTGCTAGGAAAGGTCCGGGAAACTCCAAATTATTAGTCTGGAGGATTGTTGGTCAGGGCAGCAGGAAAGCTGCGTCTCTTAAATATCATGAAATCTTCTTTGTACCCGTCATTTTTCTCCTGACGCCCAGCTAATTTAACCAATTCTTTACCATATTGTAATAGAATGTTCATGAGGTTTAGGCCAAGCAAACTCTTAGGATATAAGTCCCACAGATGTTCCATATCATGATATGTACAATATAATTTATGTTTACCTTAATAAATTCCTTGATAAACTGAGCTGCCTTCACACCAGTTTCTACATTGAAACTGATATCTACTTTGACTTCAGTCTCCTGGTCAGTAAGCTTTATAATTGGCACCTAAGAATTAGGAAAACACATTAATGAAACAATCACTTAAAGTAAACAATAGCTCTAAAAAGATGAAAAAAACTTTGAATAACCTACTGTAGCTTTGTCAAGTACTTTAATAGAATATGGTTCAGCAACATTGCGTCTTCGTAGTGCTTGTTCTAACAGTTGAAGAGGTGGATTCTTCCATTTCCCAAAAACTACCAGGTCTATGTCACTGTAAAGCAAAAGAAAAAGATGAACATCGGCCAACTAAAATACTCAATTTATAGAATTAAAAGGAAGAGATTTAACAAAATTCACAAAAATATTTGGTGCATCTACTTGAATGCACCTACTTGAGATGCGACCTGAAGATGGGGAAGGAAGGTGCAAGGTGGAGGGAAAGAGGAAGACTATCCCAGAGTTCCGGGGCATAGTAGCTGAAAGTGTGGCTACCAATGGTGGAACAGAGAGCACAAGGCAAATGCTGAAGGCTGGAGACAGTCGAACAGAGGCAACGGGTTGTGGGGTAAGCAGGTTGGAGAGATAGGGAGGTGCCAGGGCACGAAGGGGTTTGAAAACGAGTGTGAGGATCATGAAATCAATCCTTTCGGCGATAGGGAACCAGTGGAGCCTGGCTAGAACTGGTGTGATGGGGGTACGGAGTTTAATACAGGTGAGTATGCAGGCAGCAGAGTTTTGGATCAGCTCGATCCTGTGCACGGTGGACCTGGGGAGACTGGCAAAGAGAGCAATTGAGAAGTCAAGTCGGGAGGTTGACGAACGCATGGTAAGTGTTTTGGCTGCATCTGGGGTAACGTAGTGGGAGGTGGGCAATGTGGCGGAGGTGGAGGAAAGCGGTCCTGGTCAGGGACCAGATGTGGAGAAGGAAGGACTGCTGTGGGTCAAACATGCCTAGATTGCACACTGGTTCGGTAAGTCTGAGGGATAGGCCAGGGAGGTTGAGACAGGATAGAAGACATTAGCAGGAGTCAATGAGTATAGCTTCTGTCTTGTCAACATTTAGATGTAGGAAGTTTTCGCTCATCCAGGCATTGCTGGTTCAGATTTTGTGAAAAAAATCCAACCCAATATAATCAAAGCGATTGAGTGCCCTCAGAACATTTGTGTCCAATATTGAGGCAACATGCCACACTGATTTGCAAGAACAGAATTATATCTATCAATGGACAATTGGCAGTCGATTCTAGATGAAAATGAAAAACTGCTAGTTAGTTATTTTCACTGATGGCTGCATGTCAAACAACGTCTTAGAACTGTGGACAATGTGACAATTTGACTGGTTCTTATTTGGCAAACAACAAGCTACCCTCTACGCACATGCATAAAGTGACATGCACAATGACTCACAAGTCACCAATTTTTAGCATAGAGGAAGCCAAAATGGCCAACTTCTGGAGCAATAGGCCACTGCCATCACTTTGTGCATGTTATGTAGAAAGTGGCAATTTCAGTGCCCTTTTGTCTCTGAAATAGCCATTTTGCTTTCCCCCCATACTAGTGAGCATTTTGAAGAGGCAATGGAGCACACACACATTTTGGACTTTTGAGTGAATGGCATGTCCATATTCCAACTGCACAATACACAAACCCATGTTCTATTGAAGCACTTTATAACATGGTTCTTACAGCATATATTCTTATCCTTGTATCTTTCTATAGATTGTCACAAAATTTTGCATAATTAAACATTTCACAGAACTCATTCCAGAACGAGATTTTGCACAGTTTATGCGTGTCTGCCTGGAACCCTGAGCTTGGTTATGACTTTAAACAATTTTCACATACCTAGTTGGGAGATAGAGTCCTGTACTGAAACTTCCAAAAATCTGAACCTATAAACATAAAAAAAGACAGGTGTATTATTCACTGAAACATATGACTGGTACATAATTCATATTCTTCTGTTCGGGTGGTCCATTCTGTTGAGGGCCAGATGAAGGATTTGAGAAATGTCTGTGGGCCACGCAATCAATATTGTGCTCTAGTAGTATCGTAGAACTAAGCATTCTGGGTTGTTACACTGCGTGAGGAGCACGATATAAATGCAAGTTGTTGTTTTAAATTGTACAACTGCATTACGTAATTTCACTATAGATTAGTTACAATGTAAGCTTTAAATAGGCAATGTAAAATGCATGCATATTTTAAAACAATAATATCAATAAAGTACATATATGCAAGAATAATCATTAAATCCAGAGAAAACTAAATGAAAGTAAAATACTTAAATTAATTCGAATGCACAGAATTTAATACCCCTAACAATGAATAAAGTTATGATAATCTCAAATCAAATAATATGCAAGTTAATTTTTATGTATTAAAATCAAAATACAACATAACAACTCATCATATGAAGTCTATGGAATTGCCAGGCATAGAGTACATGGTGTCACTCGGTCACGTGTCTTGGTAGCCTGGCACAGGGAGTGAGGAGGCGGTCACCGATTGGGGAGCACGGGGAGTGGAGGTCACAAATACTCAATTTGGGCACCCAGGTAGAGATTGAGGGCAGGGGGCATTGATAACAACAGTCCGGGCAATGGCCACCAGTGTCAAACCATTTCCTGAAAGAACATTCCAACATTAATTTGAATTCAAAATCTTGGGAGAGCATGGCCTTGCTGAAAGTGAAAGATTAAAGGTTGAGGACAGCACCGGGCTTGGTGGTGATGCTCTCTGTGGTCGATGAATTCAACCTTGCCCAAAAAGAATGGTACATTCAACAAGTCAGAGAGCTAACAGCTCATGAGGAATCACCCAGCAAGAGTAACTTCCCTCACTAAAAATTAAAAATATAAAATGAACTGATTACCTGTATTAATAAAAACGGTATGGTGATGATAATGGGGAGGGGTTAGGGGATGACTTGCATTTAAACAAAACTACCAGTCTTTACATTCACATTCAAGTGGCCTTCTTTCATATCCGCCACACATACACTTAGTTTAATTTAGCAATCAAGCAAAATGCAGTGCTTGTAAATTTCCAGTATTCCAACTTAGTCTTTAGGGAGTAGTTCGCTGCAAATAACAAATTATTGGCCTACCCATTTTAATCATTCTGGTCATTAGCTTTGCTCAAATTCAGACTAAAACAAGAACAAATTTTAGTTTGGTCCAGCTGAGGATCTGACATGTACAGAAGCCCATCAACATATTTAAGAATCTCTGACCAAAACTACTGAAAATTCCACATAAATTATCTTTTGCATTTGATATTGTGCTTTTCATATCTGAAGTATGTCTCAAAACGCTTCATAGGATTTATATGTGTAATGACTATTTTGTAGGTGAACACAAAAGGCAATTTATGCACAGGATATATTGCAAAGTTTAGTAAACGTATATTTTGTAGGGTTTTAGTTTGTTTGATGTGGAGTGCACATGCTTTCCAGAAGGAAACCATATCTACTTATTTATTCACAATAAAACATTTACTCAAGTCTTTTTATTCTCTGTGCCAAATATCTATTATTTAACTATATAATGTAACCTACACTTAAATACTGGCCCACACTTATAATTACAGTGAAATTCTGTTAATTGAATACTCAATTTGACAGCGAAAATTATTCAATAAAACAAACTATTGATATAAACCAGACTAAATGTAAGAGGAGACTCATCTCCCGGAGCTTGGACCCCACCGGAATCTGAAATGCTCCCCTCCACTGTACTCAGATTAATTGGTTTTACACGAATGGTCACATGGAAAATTATTCAATAAACTGAATCATTCGTATATCCTGTATTCAATTAACTGATCTATATTCTTAGATTAGGCATACAAATGGTTTGAGATTTCTAAATTCTATTCAATAAGCCATTCAATTATCCCATATTCAATTAAGTGAATTTCACCGTAGTTGGGTACATTTAATGTTCTATCACATACATAATCCTTGCATTTGTTTAGAGTGTTGATGTGACGAAGCGCTATAAAGTGCCTGAGATTTTTCTGTAAAGTGAAGTGATTATTTATAGACAAATGAAGCAGCCAATTTGCACACAACCACAAAGAAGCAAGGAATTGAAAACTTTTTTTGCACAATGATTGTTCCGCATGGGGATTGCTCTGGAACTCCATCCCATAATCCTTCCAACTCCCTCCCTGTATTCAAGGCCCAACCTTGACCAACCTTTTACCTATCTTTCCCTTCCCCACCCCTGCTGAGTTACCCAGCCAGCAAGGTCAAGCAGTTTGAGATGTCTTCCTGACATGAAAGGTTCTACATAAATGTAAATTTTATTGTATTGTTACCCAAGAAAATGAGAGAAAATTCACTCTTTTTGAATTGTGCAATGCAATCTATAAGGTCCATCTGAACAGATAAGTGGACCTCAGTTTAACGTCTCAGTCAAAAATGGCACCTCTGATGACTGAGCGCTGCATTGAAGTGTCAGAGCTCTAGATTATAAGCTCAAAGTCCTGATGTAGGGTTTGAATTCACAACCTTCCAATTTAAGAGTGCTACCAACTCAATCAGGCTAAATCCTTGCAAATTTTACATGAAAACATTTTTTAAAAATGTATTATTTTGCACCCACAAAATAGTCAATCCATTTTTACAATATCTTCTATGAAGCGCTTTGAGATGTCTCAATGATGTGATAAAGCACTACATGAAATGCAAGAATTATTATTATTATACAGCAAATAGATCATTTGTATATGACAGTATAGAGCTACTGGACAATGTGAGTACCAGTGTAAAAATGCTGCATGGGTTGTGGGCAAACCCACACCTTTAAAATGGATTGCATTAGAATGGATAAGTTCAATATTAAAAAGTAGAATTCATGTATACTCACATCAGCTGATGGCCAAAGCTCTTTGATAACAGATTCTATCCGTTTCACGACTTCTTTACGCATGGCTTCCTCTTCAGGACGTGGTGACATGAAATTGTAAAAATCCATGATTTCCTCATGCAGACTAAGAAGTAAGAAATATATTAGAAATGTTGACAAGGTTCAATACAACTATTACTCTACAAATTGTTCATTTAGAAATAATGGATCAACTTTTTAAACTTAGTTCATCTGATATCATAGTTGGATGGTAATTGGCTAACATCTGGCTCTACTCCTTAAAATGTATACAACATTGTGCTGAACACAGGCAAATTCTAAGAATTTACTCCTTGATGAGTCATGTGTATTACATTAGCCAGGTCCATAAGCTGCAGTATTTTACAAACCAAGATAGCAGCAAAGATTTTTGGCATCACTCCTGAATTAAAGTGTGCCTTGAGGTTGCTGAACATTCAACCCAGTGATCCTCAATTTCTTTGAGGCTTAATTTGTCTTTACAAAATTTCCAAGAAATATTGTCAACAAACCATCTCAGTTTCTAAACACTGCAGAGCTACAGTCTGGATCTACAAACATTTAGCAGCGATACATGAAAAAAACACCCAAAGTAAAAAATGTGTTGACAACTAATTTTTAAAGACAAATTGATTTTTTTCTTGCCTCCATATGACTGGATTGAAGGCACCATATCTGCATTGCAATCATTGGTTGTAGTGTATACAATCACTTCCACTACCAGCATTGTACTGCAATAGAAACTAAATATAAATGCCTTACGGAAGCAAGTAATTCCCAACATCCTATTAAGGGAGTGCCTGAAGAGTCGTCTTCATTCTTTGAGAAGCTCACCCTCTACGTATAGGTGTGTTAATGGGCAAGAGAAAAAAAGTCAATCCTTCAACACAGGAATTTCTTAAAGAGGGAAAGAAAGTGTCCTCATGACATTTCTGATCCATGATGAACCAATACCAATATGTGAAGGATGTGNAAAAAAAACAAATGCTGAATTAATATCCTAGCATGAACTGCAGCAAATATCCTATGTTAGAAAGATATGGCCACCCTATTCTGAAACAAACAAACCACAACGGACAGTCATCTCTGAGCAAGAACAGACTTGAAGTAAATCCTACCATGTAAATAGTCAAGTTCGATTTGCCAGAAAATCTGACCTGATAGTGCCCCATTTTAACCTGTCCTTAAAAGACACCTCTACAATCAGAGACTGCACTTCTGTTTTCTGAAGATCTCCAGTTTACATTCACCTGATCCACATGCCTAACTAGGGCTTAGAGTGAATGGGAAGGAATATCACATAACAAGGAAAAAACAGCACTCCAGATCACACAATCTATCCAGATGAGGCAAAGGATCAAAGAAAAACAATTACAAACATTTGAAATCTCTGCAATGTATCAATTTCTACTCCAAAAAAGCTTCTCTGATAAATTCTGGATAAAAATGGGATATCTACATTCATTACAAACCAATGCTCACAGATGACAGAATGAATATAGCAAAGCAGATCCTAATCACTTGGCTGTTTTCCAAATATCAACAGTAATGATGGTGCCATTGAACACACTTAATGCAGAATGTGTTTGTGGTTTAAAAAAAAATCTAATTCTGCACCTTTTAATTTTGTAGTATTGTCCAAGAATTTAATACTAGTTAGTTACCTAGATTTTTATCCATATTCTCCGGGCCCCATGTAATCCTCCCTTCTACCCAATCCAACCTTTGTACAACACTCTATCTGCAAACCTTGGTGCATAACGTCATCCGCAAAACTTGTTTCCTCTCACTGGATTGTATAGATGTCAATTATACAGTTCACGAGGCACACATAGTGGAGATAATGCAAAATGTCACACTGGTACACTGGTGGGTCCTCTTCAGGGAGTGTAGCTGATGCATTTTCTTGCATTTGAATATAAACTTTATTTTGCACCCAGCCTGCGCTTCACTAACCCGAGTACACTTAATGCCTGAAATGGGAGTTTATTGCCTACCTTCAAACTCCCATCACTGTGATGAGCAACGAACATTAAAAAGAATTCCAAGTGAAACAATCCCCATTCAGGACCCATTCGGAAGAGTTCCATTTAAAAGATACCTATTGCCAACTGAAAGGATTGCTCTTAAGAGCAGCACATACACAATGGGCCAAATGGCCTTCTTCTGTGCTGTAAATTTCTATGGTTGTATGGTTCTAAGCAGTACTTAATCAACAGTAATAAAAGACAACTTAACCCCTTCCAGTTAAGTCCACAGATGCTGCTTTATCCAACACTGAAAAACAATCAGACAAATCAGTGGAACACAAATTCAATCAATCAATCTGAAAACAATCTTTTGGGAACTGTATTGCATTTAGTAAATAAGACATTATACACAATATGCTACTTGCATGGAAAAGACCAAGGCATTACATTTTGTATACCAATCCCCCAATATACATCGAGACTAGGCATGTTCACAATGGAAAAACATTGAGGCAATATGATAGCAGTTTTTAAGATTCTAAGGGACTAAATAATGTAGACCATAATAAGCTGTTTAAGTTGTCCAGGACAGTAGAACCAGAGAACATGGCCTGCAATTTAAGGGGGGGGGGATTTAAAACAAATCTGCGGAAACACTGTTTCAGTGAGCGAACAGTAAATGTATGGAACAGATTCCCTAGGAAGACTGTGGAAGCAGAAAGTGTTGATTCTTTCAAAAGCAAATTAGATTGATTTCTTTTCAGAAATAATATCTTGTGATACAGTATATAGTTTGGGACATGCCAGGTGCATGTGACTGCTGGAATGGTGGAAGGTGAACTGGATGGACCTTGGTCTTTCATCTAGCAATTCTTATGCTCTTAAAGAGACTGCTATTCATAACATACCCATATTTTAAGGATATTGGAGTTCCAAATATTTCACAAAGAGGAACAAATGAAGATCGTAGCCTTCCAGAAAAAAAACAATTCTACTACCAATGCAATAGCCTAATTAAAAATACTGTCTGGAATTATTTTGTCAATCCATTAAATATTTTATACATATTACGTGTATTGAGGTTCCTAACTGTGCACCTCTTTGCGATGCAGGAGACACCAGCTTAAAGTATTTTTTTGCTTATTGTTCTTCTACACGATTACTTGGGCTTGGACAGTCCTGATTCAGCACTGCAGAACAGCTTTCTGTGTTCCGAGTGAAGATTAGTTAGAGCCCTATACATTTTGATTTGACTGCTGGAAATTGAAATTCAAGTGATTTTACAATTCGGCCCAGCATTCCATTTTCATGGCTTACTGCTGCCTTACAGAGTTTGGAAATGGTGAATGAGTCGAACACCCCAGGTCTCTGAACTTCCCTGTCAAGTTCTATCCCATTCGTGCGCGTCAACAGAGCAGCCAGCATTGGCAGAGAATCAGGTTGTGTATTCAACTTTTCACCACCACATGCCGTAGGGCGGAGAGGGGGTGGTCTTACCCCACCACCACCAAAAAAGGGAAAGCATGAAGTTAAAAATAATTTCAGTTGCTGAATGGGAGTAAAAAAAAAAGTTAATTAGTCCAGCAAGTTTGTACAAGCTCCACACCAAATTTCTCAGGATGTTTAAAATTCTATCCACAATCCGGCAACCAAAAGACCATTTTAGTTTGCAACAAAAAGGCATCTGTATACATAGCAGGATCTCCTGGACACTAACTAAAAACAGATGAATGAAGATTCTTAGCAAACAAACATCCTAACCAATATTTAATACTCATACAGTATGGTATGTTTTAAGTGTATGACTACAATCTCAATTGGCTTAATGTGCAGGAGCATGCTGCATTTGAATTATTTGACTGCTATCCAGTTTTTTTTTCTTACAGTATTTTTTGTTTTCTGTTGAAGATGTGAGTTTAATAACGTGTGATGCCATTATTTTCACTAGAATCCACATTTTAGTCTGCATACGTTGTACTGTATAATCTTAGGATTGTTAAGCCACACATTCAGTAATTTTAAAGAAATCCAACTGAAATAAAGATCTTGACTTAAAGCTTTCTATTTTCTGCTTTAATGTTCAGGAACATTTTCACAATCTGAACAAAACAGGTTTCGCTAAACTTCAAATTCATCTGACCACTAAAATCATGTCTCACTATCTCTGATAATGATTTATTTAACACATTTCCACTGTAAGACTTTTTTCCCCTTAATTGCTGCTACAGAATACAGTAACCAACACAGTAACAATTATGTGAGAGAAGATATTCATAGGAACAGGAGTAGGCCTTTCAGTTCATCAAGCCTCTCCCACCATTACCATTTTCCAAGTTCATGGACAATCTGTAACTTTCTCCATAACATATCAAGATATCCCTGTCTATCAAGTATTTATCTATTTCCCTATGAATTCTTCAATTGACCCTGCCTGCACTGCCTCAGGTGGGGACTGAGATGAAAGGGCCTATGACGAAATGATGGAAAATCCCATTTTGTCAAAGGCTCTTGACACCAGGAATCATTCCAGTAAATTGACACAGTACACCCTCCAAGGTCAACATATCTTGCGTACGGTTTGATGCCCCAAACTGCCCACAATACTCCAAATGAGGTTTGACCAGCATTTTATACATCACGTTTTGATTTGTATTTCAGCTCCTCTGTGATAAATGCCAGCTTTGCATTGGCCTTCTGCACTTGTGCGCTACTTTTTAAAGATTTATGAACCTGAACACCAATATCTCTCTGCTGTTTAACCCCACTAATGTTTCTCCATCAAGATTGTAGTTGAACTCGATATTCCTGGGTCCAAAATGAATTTCCCCTCTGTTTGGTACAGCTGCACCAAGCTCATCTTGATCTCCTCTAGGATTAAAGGACATGATCCCTAGCATTGGAGAAATAAGAATTCCTTGAAAAGCAAAAGTCAACTTCCCCCAAGACCTTAGTATCCTATTAAGGCCAGGTTTAATGTTCTATTGCTCCATTTAATTGTAACAATGCATCCTCCAATATAATCCACTTCGCAATTTGGTTCTTCAAAACCAAAAAACCTACGCAGTAGGTAGTGAGAATGTGGAACTCACTGGCCAAAGCAGTGATTGGAGCATACAATTATAACTGAATTTAAGAG